AGCAACCCTGCTGCTAGCCTGGTCGACCTCCAACGCAGCTCGGTCGACCGCCTGCTAGCGTTGCATAGAGGAGCCGTGCCAGCACTGCAGAAGGGCGACTTGCCAACAGAGCAGGTCGACGGTGTGCCAACGCTGCAGCAGAGCGGATGCGCACACTCACAGCAGTGTGCACAGCAGTGCGCACGCTCACAGATGCGCGCAGACGATCGGCCCAACTTGCCTCGTTGGGCATCTATCGGCTGTTGTCTGCGCGTGACGAGCCACATCGACTCCGGGATACCAGCCCACAGTCGCCTGCACCATCGCATCCTAGACGACGTTCTCGTGCCTCCGCAGAACTCGTCGAGTAGGTTACCCGGTCGACCACCAGGTGCTTCCGGTCGACCACCAAGTCCCTCTGGTCAACCACCAGGCGCCCCTGGTCGACCACAGCTCCCATCGAGCTACCCTCTAGTCGACGGACCCCTTCCGTCAACCAGAACCGTCAGCGGTTGTCGCCGAGCTCCCCTCGTCGACTGCTGCTCACTTGTCAGGTCGCCGGGACTGCTTCGGGGACTCCCGGTCGAACTGCAGGTCGACGGAGACCTCCCGGTCGAGCTGTAGGTTGACGCAGACCTCCCGGTCGAGCTGCAGGTTGACGGAGGCCTCCCGATCGAATTGCCCCTCCTGGTCGACGGCCCACCCGTCGCCTAGACCAGTCAGTTGCAGCTGTCGAGCTCCCTGGTCGATAGCAGCACCACAGGGTCCCCTGCAGCTCGACAAAGCCTGTCGAGCAGCTCTCCCACTGTGAATGGTCGGCTGCTACTCCCGTACATCCGACCAAGTCGTCGGCGTTGCCCAAGCGAAGGCGGGGCCAACACTCCATTCCCGTTAACACCCTCCCCCCTCACTCCTCACCTTCTGCCCTGTTGTTCCCATGCGTGTGCACCCATCTATTTCCCCATACATGCTTTCATCATGTGCGCTTGCTTGTATTCCCTTGCCATTGTTCCGTTGCACCTCACACCACCTCTCCCATGTTTCTTCACTTGCTTCTTTCTTCCTATCTTCACTAATTTTCTTCCTGTCTTCCCTAATTGACTATGATGAAGCAGAGGAGCAACAGTTGCAAGCTGAGGCACAGCCAGTCAATGCTGTACATTGTACCACCACCTGTTTCGTGTGTGTTGTATGCAAGCATGTTACTGTATTACTGATGGAGGTATGTTAGAATAGTAAGTTGAAATGATAGAACAAGAAAGAGGGTTTTCACTAGCAGGTAGTTGAGTACATATAGCAAACCCTAATTTGGGCTATACTCGCTATAGAGTACCCCACTACAGCAAGCATCACATTCTGACACACCCCCATAGTCAAAGTGGGGTATAATCACAGCAAGAAGACATAGCAATATTTCAAATTGAATAAGCAAGCTAGAGGCTATCACAAAGGGCAAGTGAGGAGGAGGAGAAAGTGTGGGGGCAAGAAGATGGGAGGCGACGACTGAAGGTGTAGACACACGCGCAACAGAAGCACGCAGCACTATCGCTACCAGGCGCAAGCCCCGGACTACACGGCGACAGACACTCGGGCAACAGAAGCGCGCAGCACTGTCGCTACCAGGCGCAGAGCCCCGGACTACACGGCGACAGGCGCAGCTGGCTCTCTGTGCTACCAGGAGCGCGCAGCACTGTGACTACCAGACGCAGAGCCCCGGACTACACGGCCACAGGCGCAGCTGGCTAAACCAGGACTACAGGCTGCGGACGACAAGATGGCTGCCTCCACTCAACTTCCCCCAGCTGTCCCACACCCCTTTCACTCACTCCCTGCTGTACCCCTAGCACTGCTCACACTCCACCCCCCTAGTACCACTCCGACGGCTCCAACACATCCACCCCCCTCAACGGTAGCTGCAGCAGTGGGAGACAAAGGAGGAGGAGGAGCAGGGGACGGCGTACACACCCGTCACCCCCAAACCCTAACACAGGCAGCACGGGGCAGGAGAGCGTGCAGCAGCGGGGGCGGTGCTCGTGGTGAAGCAGGAGGGTGCGCGGCGCTAGGGCAGGCCGTACGGGCCGCGCATGGGCCTGGCGCGGGCCATACGAATCGCGCCCGGGCTGTACGGGCCGCGCGCGGGCCTAGCGCAGCCCGTACGAGCCGCGCGCGGGCCTGGCGCAGGCTGTACCGCCGCGCTCGGGCCTTGGCGCATTCTGTCAGAATCCCAAACCACAAGACCATTGGGAATAAAAGGGGCTTGTTTAAGTAGCGGGTCAATGCGCCCATAACCCCCCAGGCAACCGTGCCTGTAACCCTTCCCTAGGATCAATCGGGGATCACCAGTGGACCTCTGACACCCCCCCGCACTGGGATGCCCGAAGTGCATACACCGGGATTCGAACCCGAGACCTTCGCTCTGATACCATGTCAGAATCCCAACCACTAGACCATTGGGATAAAAGGGCTTGTTTAAGTAGCGGGTCAATGCGCCATAACCCCCCAGGCAACCGTGCCTGTAACCCTTCCCTAGGATCAATCGGGGATCACCAGTGGACCTCTGACAGCGCAGCCCGTACGGGCCGCGCGTGGCCTGGCGCAGGTCGCGCGGGCCGCTTTCGGGCGACTGGGGGCGACAGCGCGGATCCCCAGGGGCGCTGCGACAGGCGACGGGGGGCGACGCGCGGGACGACGGGCAGAAAAACCGCCGCGCGCCCTTAGCGCTCGGCGGGCAGGAAACCGCCATGCGCCCTGAGCGCGTGGCGGGAAAGAAAAAAACGTCGCGCGCCACGGGGCGTGCGACAGACAGGACAGCAGCGGAAGCTAACAATGGGCTCATAGGCCAGGAGCGTAACCGCTCTGATAGCATGTTAGAATAGCAAGCTGAAACGACTAGAACAGGAAAGAGGGTTTTGACTAGCAGGTAGTTGAGTACATATAGCAAACCCTAATTTGGGCTATATTCGCTATAGAGTACCTCACTGCAGGCTAGACAAACATCACATTCTTACAAGGTCTGCATTGCAAGGCTCTCTATATACGTTTGTTTTTTCAGTGCAAGATATTCTTCCAAGATGCATTGGCACTAAGAGTGTCATAAAGGTACTTTGATTGTAGGCAGAGGTCAAGGGGAGCAATATAACAGAACCTTTCTCAGAGCCCTGAAAAAAAAAACAAGAGGCGACGAGTCGTCGTAGGGTTGCGAACAGATTTTCGTAAGTTCCACACTCAAATTTATAAAACTTATACTTCCTACCATGAAAATCAGTGACACTCTATTTTATTTGGTTGAGATTTGGAAAATTTGGCACATCATGATTCGAATTGGCGATCTCGCAATTTTTTAACGATTCTCACTCGACTGTACTACAACGGCTGTTACGGTAGAGCACATATTTTATATCAACTTTAAACTTTGCGACGAAATTGACGGGTTTGCGTCTTCCTTTTTCCACTCTTTTCCTCTTGCTAGTGAAGCTTGCTCTTCAGATTCTCACGCTAGCCATGCTCCACCTAACTACCAGGTGAGAAGGCCCTAGAACTATGTTAGATGTTATTTGCTAGACCTAAGCACGTTCTTATTGTCAAACATTATATATGTTGTGTTAGTTTAGGCTACAGTGGGTTAGCCTATAGGGGGTACACAATTCTAGGGTTAGGTACTTGTACTCATTTCACAGCTAGTTCATTCATTCCTGTTCAGTGATTCCAACATGGTATAGAGCAGGTCCTTCCTAGGACCGAAATTTTCTAAGGGCCCACCACTACGAAACTACCTACCTACCTGTGCCCTAGGGCGCCTCGGCGTGTCACGCCCCTAGAGGCCCCTCTTGACGGCCCCGCGCTAGCCCCGTTCAGGCCCCGTCGGCCCCACGCCCGCTCTCCCTAGCGGCCCCGTTCAGGCCCCGTCGGCCCCCTTTAAGGCCCCGTTCAGGCCCCGCGCTAGCCCCGTTCAGGCCCCGTCGGCCCCGTTTCAGGCCCCGTCGGCCCCGCGCTAGCCCCTCTCAGGCCCCGTCGGCCCGCGCTAGCCCCGTTTCAGGACCCGTCGGCCCCGTTTAAGGCCCCGTCGGCCCCGCGCTAGCCCCTCTCAGGCCCCGTCGGCCCGCGCTAGCCCCGTTACAGGCCCCGTCGGCCCCGCGCTAGCCCCATTCAGGCCCCGATCGGGCCCGCGCTAGCCCCGTTTCAGGCCCCGTCGGCCCCGCGCTAGCCCCGTTCAGGCCCCGTCGGCCCCTTGCTAGCCCCGTTTGGCCCCGCGCTAGCCCCGCTCAGGCCCCGATCGGCCCCGCGCTCGCCCCTCTAGGGCCCCAACCGGCCCCGTGCCGACCTCGCCGACCCGTGCCCACCACCTAGAGGCCCCGGGCGGCCCGTTCCCCGCCGCAGCACACGAGGGAGAGCGGGCGGCCCGTCCCCGCCGTGACCCGAGCCGCGCGACCCGAGCCGCGCGCCCCGAGCCGAGCCGCGCGCCCCGAGCCGAGCCGCGCCACCCAGCCGAGCCGCAACCCGACCTGAACCGAGCCGCGCCGCCCTGCCCTACCTGGTTCGTCCTACCTGCTTCTCCTACTGCTACTGCTCCTATTTCTACTGTTCCTATGGCTAGCCCATAGGTTCTCGTGTTCGATGCTGAGGGCCGCCCTGTGAAGTTTGACACCTGGCTCGATGACCTGCACCTCTACCTACAGCTCACAGCCAAGGATGACATCTCACTGTACGATCACGCCCTAGGCCATGTCACTGCCCCTGCTGCTACTGCTGACAGCACTGCTCGCTCACAGTGGCAGACTCGTGATGCCCACGCTCGCTTCGCCATTCGCAACTCCCTGTCGATAGACGAACGCGAGCACTTTGGTCAGCACAAGACTGCACAGGCACTGTACACAGCTGTAGTTGCTCGCTACTCCTCACCTGCCTCTGCCACACTAGGCCGTCTCTCCCTCCCCTACCTGTTTCCCGACCTGGCCTCCTTTCACACAGTCGCTGACCTCATCACGCACCTCCGTACTAGTGAGGCCCGCTTCCGTGCCGCCATGCCTGCTGAGTTCCTTGCCACGCACCCCCCTCCACTCTGGCTCACTCTCTACCACCTAATCACCCGCCTCCCTGACACACTGCATGCTGTCAGGGACCACTTCCTAGCTCGTTGCCCCACTGAGCTCACCATTGCCCTCCTCGAGAAGGAGCTACTTGCAGCTGAGACTAGCATAGTCGCTGTAGGTGCCTCTCGTGGCGACCCCCGTACCCCTTTCTTTGAGGGGTGTTCTCCTTCCCCCCTCCTTCCCTCTGTCGCCTCTGCTGCTGCTGTCCACCTTCTTGGTGCTGAGAAGGTCGGCGCTGCGTCTGCCTCGAGCGGACGCCGCTGCGGCAAGGGCAAAGGGGGCAAGGGTGGTGGCGGTGACGGCGGGGGAGGCGGCGGTGGGAGCGGTGGAGGCAGTGGGGGTGGTGGCTCGGCTGGAGGGGCGAGTGGTATCGGTGGGGGTGGTGGCGGCAGCGACGGGGGAGGTGGCAGGAGTGGAGGCGGCGGTTGGGGTGGCGGTGGACGAGGCGGCGGCAGGGGTTGGGGTGGTCGAGGAGGTGGCAGCGGTGGTGGTGGCCGTGGAGGCACTTGCGGTGGCCAGGGCCAGCAGCACACTCCCTCGCCCCAGGAGGTCCGTGAGTGGTACTCTCAGCACGGGGTGGGGGTGGTCTTAGCTGCACGTACGTCATTCGCACTGGTGACCCCTCTGGTCAACAGTGTGGACGACCGCACGCCACACAGCGCTGTTTCTCTCGTCTCGACGACGCTTGGCGTGTTCAGTTCCCTCCGGCCACTGAGCTGCCCCGCTGGCTTGATCTCGTGAAGAAGGGGATTGATATTTATGCTCTAGACTTTGATGCTATTCTATCTGCCATGTATGTGATGTCTACTAGTGGAGAGGGTGCTGAGTACTTGTGTGTGCCGCCCGACCCAGGCATTAGGGCCAGTGCGTCTGCCGCTCCAGGTACTCGCGTGTCGGCTACCCCAGGTGCTGGTGAGGCTGCTGCTCTAGGTGCTTGTGTGTCTCCCCCCCTTGGTACTGCGTCGACTGCCGCAGTGCACACCTTCACACTGGTCTCAGGTGCTTCTCGCTGCTTCTTTCATGACCGCACTGCCCTTGAGCCGCTTGCTCGGCCAGTTGCTGTCTCCCTTGCTAACCCCTCTAGGGGTCCGGTCATTGCGACCTCTTCCACTGTCCTTCCCTGCCTTGCGGTCCCGTCGGGCACACTGTCAGGTCTCCACCTCCCCTCGTTCTCTACGAACTTGGTGGCAGGATGTGCACTCCAGGACGGGGGTGTTCACCAGTTCACCCCTGCCTACGAGCGCGTGACACACTGCACGTGTGCTCGTACGGGCCGTCACTTGGCTACCTTCACTCGGCAGCCGGGGTCGGACCTGTACACACTGACTACTGAGTCCCCTCAGGTTGCTGCGACTGCGTCCGCGTCCGCGTCAGGTCAGCTGTCCGCCCCCTGCTCGTGTCGCTCTTTGGCATACGAGACTGTCCTCTGGTCCCACCGCCTTGGCCACCCGTCTGTGCAGCGGCTTCGTGCCATGCACTCCCGGTACCTTGTCTCTGGCCTGCCCAGAGTCCTTCCTGCCCTCCCACCCTCGCCTGCTCCTACCTGTCTCCCCTGTGTCGAGCGACGGCAGCGCGCGGCTCCTCACTCCTCCTCGTTCCCCCGGACGACTGCTCCCTTGCAGACACTCCACATGGACGTGTGGGGCCCAGCCCGCGTCCGTGGTCAGGGTCAGGAGAGGTACTTCCTGATAGTTGTTGACGACTACTCGCGCTACACCTCGGTCTTCCCCTTGCGCACCAAGGGTGAGGTCCCTGATGTCTTGATCCCTTGGATCCGCAGAGCACGTCTCCAGCTCAGCGAGCGTTTTCACTCGGACTTTCCTCTCCTGCGCTTGCACTCTGACAGAGGTGGTGAGTTCTCCTCCGACCTCTTGGCAGCCTACTGTGCTGAGCACGGCATTGAGCAGTCGTTCACGCTTCCGGCTTCTCCACAGCAGAATGGGGTTGCGGAGCGCCGCATTGGCCTGGTCATGGAGGTCGCCCGTACCTCCTTGATCCATGCGGCTGCCCCCCACTTTCTGTGGCCGTTTGCGGTCCGGTACGCTGCGCATCAGCTCAACCTCTGGCCCCGTGTCTCCTTGCCGGAGACCTCGCCCACGCTGCTGTGGACGGGGGAGGTTGGCGATGCGTCGCGTTTCCGGGTCTGGGGGTCTCGAGCTTTTGTCCGCGATTCGTCTGCGGACAAGCTCTCCTCCCGTGCTGTTCCCTGTGTCTTCCTCGGCTTTGTCCCGGACGCGTCTGGTTGGCAGTTTTACCACGCCACCTCGCGCCGAGTCTTGCCCTCCCAGGACGTCACTTTTGACGAGTCTGTCCCCTACTACCGCCTCTTCCCCTACCGCACTGCCCCGCTCCCCCCCCCGCCTCTCTTCCTCGCGCCAGGTGCTGCTGTTGCAGACCCCCTCCCCCCTCAGGGTGCTGCTCCCTCAGGTGTGTCTCAGGTAGACCCGGTTGAGCTTGTTGAGGTAGCTGTCGACTCTCGTCTTGCTGGGGGTGCTGAGCCTGGGGGTGCTGAGCCTGGGGGTGTGGAGCCTGGGGGTGTGGAGCCTGGGGGTGTGGAACCTGGGGGTGTGGAGCCTGGGGGTGTGGAGCTTGAGGGTGCTGAGCTTGGGGGTGTGGAGCCTCGTGGTGCTGAGCTGCGGAGTCCAGAGTCTGGGGGTTCTGAGTCTGGAGGTACTAGGACTGGGAGTCTTGCACCTGGAGGAGCCCTCTCCTCGGAGCAGCTGCGTGCGTGGTACTTAGAGTACAGCAGCCTCCGGAGAGGTACCGCTCGAGCCGGACGTACTACTGGGACTGGTGCTAGTGCTTCTTCTCCCGTTCAGGAGCTCCCCTCCCGCGAGCGGATCCGTGAGTGGTACGAGCGGCGCTGCACTCTTCGGAGTGGCGTGCCTCGTGTTACGGACCCTGCTGCTGCTGGAGCTGCTGCTGGTGCTGAGGACCCGGGCGTTGGAGCTGCTGCTTGTGCTGAGGACCCGGGCGTTGGAGCCGCTGCTGGTGCTGAGGACCCGGGCGTTGGAGCTGCTGCTGGTGCTGAGGACCCGGGCGTTGGAGCCGCTGCTGGTGCTGAGGACCCGGGCGTTGGAGCCGCTGCTGGTGCTGAGGACGCGGGCGTTGGAGCTACTGCTGGTGCTGAGGACCCAGGCGTTGGAGCTGCCGCTGGTGCTGCGGACCCGGGCGTTGGAGCTGCTACTGGTGCTGAGGACCCAGGCGTTGGAGCTGCCGCTGGTGCTGAGGACGTTGGCGCTGGAGCTGCTGCTGGTGCTGCGGACCCTGGTGCGGGTGTCCCTGCTGGCTCTGGTGTCGCTGCTCGATCTCGGCCGTACTTTGTTCCGCTCCTTCAGCAGGTTCTTGGTCAGCTTCCTCTTCCTTTTCCTTCTCCCTCCTTAGCGTGTCCTCCGCTTGTCCAGCTGCAGTCGCAGCTACCGTCTGCCTCCTCTCTCCCTGGTCCTGCTCCTTACACTGGTCCGACTGGAGGTCTTACTGAGCGGCGTGAGCCTGCGTCTCGTCCTGCGTTGCCTGAGTCTCGTCCTGAGTCGCCTGTCCGCACTGCTCTCTCTAGTAGTCGAGTCCAGCGTCAGCGTCTTCCTGCTGTCCCAGGCACTCACCGGATGGCGCTTCGTCCGTCCACTGCTCCACAGCGTGTCCCACTGCCGTCTCCTCCTGCTTCATCTGTTCCTGCTCTTCCTGACCTTTGGTCAGACTCTTTTCGTGCTACCAGTCCTACTGTCACGCGTCTCCTGGCTACTGTTGTCAGTGACCCTTCCTTTGAGTCTGCTGCTGCGTCTGCCTTAGTTGCTGAGCTTGTCGACTTTGCTGCTCGCTGTCGTCTAGACTACGCTGCTAGCCTAGTTGCTGAGTCTGAGTCTGTCTGACCTTCGTCCGTCGGGGGTGAGTGTGCTCTTGGCACTGACGTCCTTGAGGACAGGCAGGAGGAGTTTGAGTGCTTTGCTGCCGCTTTGCCCCATCTCGTGTCCATGCTTGTTGCCCCTGAGGGAGACCCGGATGCACAAGACATCCCGACCCCACGCTCTTACGCAGAGGCGATGGCTGGTCCCTACTCCTCACAGTGGCAGTCAGCCATGGACACAGAGATGGCTTCCTGGAAGTCCACAGGCACCTACGTCGACGAGGTTCCCCCACCTGGGGCGAACATCGTCAGTGGCATGTGGATTTTCAGGGTGAAGCGGCCGCCGGGCTCTCCGCCTGTCTTCAAGGCGCGTTACGTTGCACGAGGCTTCAATCAGCGAGAGGGAGTTGGCTTCTTCCAGACCTTCTCCCCGACCTCGAAGATGACCACTCTTCGGGTTCTGCTGCACGTCGCCGCTCAGCGTGACTACGAGCTCCACTCGCTTGACTTCAGCACTGCTTTCCTGCAGGGCAGCCTGGACAAGGAGATCTGGCTGCGCCGTCCACCTGGCTTCACTGGGTCGTTCCCTCCTGGTACCCAGTGGAGCCTCCAACGGCCAGTCTACGGTCTCCGCCAGGCGCCTCGTGAGTGGCACGACACACTGAGGACTACGCTTGCGGCTCTTGGGTTCGCGCCTTCTACTGCTGACCCGTCGCTGTTTCTACGCACCGACACCTCACTGCCGCCGTTCTACGTCCTTGTGTACGTCGACGACTTGGTCTTTGCCACTGCTGACACTGTGGCACTCGCCCACGTGAAGTCGGAGCTGCAGAAGAGACACACGTGCACAGACCTGGGTGAACTGACAAGCTATCTTGGCTTGCGGATCACCCGGGACATAGCACGCCGCACCATCACCTTGACTCAGTCACACATGGTGCAGCAGGTCCTTCAGCGCTTCCGCTTCACATACTCCTCGCCTCAGCCCACTCCTCTGCCTACCGGTCACTCGCTCTCAGCTCTGCCTTCAAATGAGTCCGTAGAGCCGAGTGGCCCGTATCCAGAGCTTGTGGGTTGCCTCATGTACCTGATGACCTGCACTCGACCAGACCTTGCATACCCTCTCAGCATTCTTGCACGCTATGTCGCTCCCGGCCGTCACCGGAAGGAGCACATGGATGCAGCTAAGTGGGTGTTGCGCTACATGTGCAGTACGTCGGGCATGGGGCTAGTGCTTGGAGGGCGAGTCCCAGTTGTTCTCACTGGGCACTCAGACGCTTCTTGGGCAGACGACCAGGCTACTCAGCGGTCGTCTCAGGGTTACTCCTTCAGTCTTGGTTCTGGTTCTGTTTCTTGGCGTTCTACTCGCTCTTCTTCTGTTCTCAGCTCCAGTTGTGAGGCTGAGATCTACGCCACAGCCATGGCGGCCCAGGAGCTACGCTGGCTCACCTACTTGCTGACCAACCTTGGAGAGCAGCCTCGTTCTCCTCCAGTGCTGTACGTCGACAACAAGGCAGCCATTGCCTTGTGTGAGGAGCACAGACTGGAGCATAGAAGGAAGCACATTGCTTTGCGTTACTTCCTTGCTCGAGAGTTGCAGCAGCGTGGTCAGCTTCGCCTTCGTTACGTGGCCTCTGAGGCCAACACTGCTGATGTGTTCACCAAGGCGCTTCAGCCTTGTGACCATCAGCGCTTTTGCACTCTTCTAGGCCTTGTGCCTACTGGACCTCACTTGCTTACTTCTTGAGTCTGTTTGTACTGTGATCTCTTTATATATACCTGCATGTTTACTCTTGTTAGGTTGTGATCATTGTACCTTTTGCTCTATTATAAACCTGCATGTGAACTGGTCTTGTGACCACTTGCTTGTGCTCGGAATTTGTGTGGTATCCTTGAGATCCACCCTGAGCTTGTTTTGCCTTGCTTTGCCTTGACTGGTCTTGTGACCCCTAGTTCTCCCCCACTTTGCCTATGGGGGTGTGTCAAACATTATATATGTTGTGTTAGTTTAGACTACAGTGGGTTAGCCTATAGGGGGTACACAATTCTAGGGTTAGGTACTTGTACTCATTTCACTGCTAGTTCATTCATTCCTGTTCAGTGATTCCAACACTTATTAGCTATGACGACTCATAATATAGCTCGGTCGATGTTGCTGTTGTTTATAATTTAGAAGCCTCAGCAATTTACCTTAGCATCTAGATCGCTAAGTAGTTCCTAACTAGTGCTCCTCACTTATTGGTATGATCGATTTTCGTCCGCTTTTATCTCTAAAAACCATCTCATTGATTCTGTCCATGTTCACGTTTCATTGTTAAATGAGTCAATTCAAATAGGTTTCTTTCTTCCTTTCTTTCTTATCATCTTATACGTACCTCCTTCAGTTCACCTGCTACTTATGCGCCATCTACTTCGTATTAAATTAGTGATGATGTGAGTACGTGTTTGCTCTTTGTTTTACCACTCCTCTCTCATTCTCATCTTGTTCTTTCTCTTCTTTTCAGTATTTTTCTTCTTCTCATCCTTGTTTCCTTTCGTTTAGTAAGTAGTGTTTCTGCTAGATTGTGTAGATGTTCTTTCTTGCATTCCCTCTACCTTCTTTGCCCACATCCGTTTTATCTCTATCTCTCTCTTTCTCTCACTCCTCTGACTTTCCAGTTTTCTCTCCGTTTTTCTTCCCCCTCTCCTTCCTTCAATCGTAATGCTTTACCGTTGTCATCTCATGCTTGCCATATTTGGCTAATCCTTATTCGTATTAAGGGCTGTGGCATTACTCAGAGTTGCCAACAGAGCATGAGCATCATGTTCAGTCTCTTTGACGACAAAAATATTCGTGTAGTTAGAGTAGCAATTTATTTATGAATGCTGGTTTCATCTAACTACCGTTTTGTTTTTACTAGTTCACGATAATCTGGTTTCGATTCGACTATAAGAGACTGGCAAGCCTTTCAAGAAACAACTCACACGTAGTTCTCTCTTTCTCGTGCCAAGTACTAATCTGCTTTATACACTACAGCAGATCAGTACTTGGTTTGTAAATTCTTTTTTGTTGTTTCTGTTTTCTCGTGTTTTTCCTTCCGTTTTGCTTCGATTTCTGTTATTTTGTATTGTATTCGTCTTTCGGTTTGGCGGTTTGTTCTGCCAGAATGAACAAGAGTGATTGAACTAGGAAAGAGTTGGGTACAAGTAGGAAACCCTAAACTTACCGTACCCCATAGCAACTACCCCACCACAGCCTAAACAAACTGAAGTAGATATGACATTTGACACACCCCCATAGGCAAAGTGGGGGAGAGCAAGGGGTCACAAGACCAGTCAAGAAAGGCAAAGCAAGCTCAGGGTGGATCACAACGTCACCACACACACTGAGGATAAGCAAAGGGCCACAAGGCTAGTTCACATGCAGAGGCATATATGCAACACAAACATCACAGTGATCTCTACCTAGGAAAGCAAGCATGCAGGTATATATATATAAATCATAGTACAAGCAAAGCCTACAGCAAGTGAGGAAAAGTGGGAACAAGCCCTAGCAAAGTGCAGAAACGCTGATGATCACCAGACTGAAGTGTCTTGTGAATATATCAGCAGTGTTGGCCCGAGTGGCCACGTAACGCAGACGAAGCTGACCACGCTGCTGCAACTCTCGAGCCAGGAAGTAACGCAGAGTGATGTGCTTTGTTCTGTGCTCCACTCTGTGCTCCTCAGACAAGGCAATGGTAGCCTTGTTGTAAACATACAGCACTGGAGGAGAATGAGGCTGCTCTCCCAAGTCAGTCAGCAGGTAGGTGAGCCAGCATAACTCCTGTGTAGCCATGGCTGTGGCGTAGATCTCAGCCTCACAACTGGAGCTGAGAATTTAAGACGAGCGTGTAGAACGCCAAGAAACTGAACCAGAGCCAAGGCCGAAGGTGTAACCCTGTGACGACCGTTGCGTAGCCTGGTCGTCAACCCAAGAAGCGTCTGAGTGCCCAGTGAGGACAACTGAGCTACTCCCTCCAAGTACAAGTCCCATGCCTGATGTACTGCACAAGTAGCGCAGTACCCTCTTAGCAGCATCCATGTGCACCTTTCAGTGCCAACCAGAAGCCACGTAGCGAGCCAGAAGGCCAAGAGGGTACGCGAGGTCAGGACGAGTGCAAGTCATCAGGTACATGAGACAGCCAACTAGCTCTAGGTAAGGACCACTCGGCTCTACGGACTCGTCCGAAGGTGGAGCTGAGAGCGAGTGACCTGTAGCCAGAGGAGTGGCCTGTGTCGAGGACCAGGCGAAGTCGAAGCGCTAAAGGACTTGCTGCACCATGTGTGACTGAGTGAGTGTGATGGTGCGGCGTGCTCTGTCCCGGGTGATCTGCAAGCCAAGGTAGCTGTGCAGTTCACCCAGGTCTATGCATGTGAGAGTACGACGGCTTATGCCAGCTATGCTTGCTTGCCTTTACTTTATCATGCTATTTCTAGCATAGGATAATTATATGCATGCATGAATTGCTTGATTTCCTAGGCTAGGTGCTTTCCTATATTTTATTATAGTTAGAGCACCGAGCTAGGTTGCGTGCACCGAATTCTGGCCTTTTCGGTTGCCACCGAATTGCCTTCTACCGAATTCGGTAAGGATCTGTTCGGGACGCTACGCGACCCGCGGAACCTTCGCGTAACACCTGGTTACGCGGCCTTGTGTCGAGCCTATATATAGCCTCGTGATGTACCCAGGTGATCATTCAATTCGACTCAATTCTCATTCTCTTTTCTGAGCTCGATCCTAGATGCTCACACTTGGTAATCAGAGCCCGTTTACACGCGAAGTTGTTTCGACCGCTAAAAACCAGTCTTCAAAAAACCGCGGGGGCGACGCAGTCAAACATCGATTTCGGGTACGTAAAATTGGTTCCGTGTATTTCGCTCCCCCTCGATTCGGTTTTTCGGACGCGTTGATGTCAGGCATGGAGGGCCAAGGTGACAACTACGCGACTACGAGCGACATCGCGAGCCTCCGCACCGACATGGAGCAGACGCAGGCGACGCTTCGTCGACTCAAGGCTTTTCTGACAAGCCAACCAGGGTTCGCCACCGCAGCAGCAGCGACCGCAGCAACTGCAGCACCGACAACTCCAGCAGCAGTGGCGACACCGACATTTCACGGACCAATGGCACCACTGTCGCCGAACCTCGAAGCAGCACGACCGAGGCTCCCGGAGGCGTTCGATCCAAGCGCGAAGGGATCCGACGTCCGGCGATTCGTGGCCACCCTCGAAATTTACTTCGAGGCCATTGGCTGTTCGACCCCGCAACACGACGCAGCAAGGATTCGGCTCGCAGCGACACTGTTACGTGGACCGGCTCTCGAATGGATTTACTACACCGACGTAGCCCGCGAGGAGAAAACGTGGCAGCAGTTTCGGGCAAATTTAATCGAGCGTTTCGAACCAATTAATACAACCTACATGGCGCGGCAGCAGATACACCGACACAAGCAATACAGTAGTGTAACACAGTACACGCAGCAGATGGAGTTACTGTTCAACCGCATCACCGACTTGGCCGAAGGCAAAAAAATCCAGGCGTACACCGAAGGGTTAAAAATGGAGATTCGGCGGCAGGTGATTGCTGCGAGTTACAACAGCTATAGAGACATCGTGCGTGCTGCCGAGCGATACGACGCGCTGACTCGAGGTCAACCCGAAACACGACACTTCACGCCGAACCGTACATTCGGCACGGAGCGATCGACACCCCCCACGTTCGCCGAACCGATAGATATCGACAAATACGACGCGAGGCAGCAGCCGACAAAATGCGAATTTTGAGGCGCAGCAGGACATCAGTTTTTGTCGTGCTACAAAATGAAGAAAACACGTGCGGCACTCCGGGACGGAAATAGTGGAGCACCCCCAAAGTAAAAAAACGGGAATCGCCGGTAACCGCGGATCGACTTGGTGATCGCGTAAAGATCCGAAAAGTAGGAAAAGGCGACAACGTGGCGACTTCGGAGCGGGTGAAAAAAGGAGAAAATGATGGCGCGAATCTAAAACGTCACGACCGGCCGGCATCAGGGGAAATCGCCGAGGCGAATAGAGGCTCCGCGAAAAAAGACTCTGCATCGACCGGGAAACTCAAGCCGAACACTCACGAAAGTAAGAATTAGTTAAAAGTATCCTATAAAGATGCTCTAACGAAGAATATTGCTTCTCGTGGTTTTCAAGCCTTTAAAAAATTCAGGGGAGGTTTAGAGGCCAAGAAAAAGCCTTGAGAAATTATTCAAGTACCTGAGACGTTGGGCAAAGTACTGAGAAAACTGAAACGAGAATGAATGCACTATGAAAGAGTTGGGTACAAGTACTAACCCTAATTGGGTTGTACCCCATATGGGCTACCCCACTATAGCCTACAACAGCTATGTCATATAAATCTGACACACCCCCATAGGCAAAGTGGGGGAGAACAAGGGGTCACAAGACCAGTCAAGCAAAGCAAAGCAAGCTCAGGGTGGATCACAAAGTCACAACACATTCCAAGCACAAGTTCAAGGCCTCAAGGCCAGTTCACATGCAAGAGTACATATATATATATATGTATATATATATATATAAGGCTAGACAAGCAAGAGTAGGTGTATATATATATGTAACCGTACAAGCAAGGTCAAGAGGTGAGCAAGTGAGGCAAGGCAGGCACAAGACCCAGCTGAGTACAGAAGCGCTGATGATCACAAGGCGCAATCGCCTTGGTGAAGATATCAGCAGTGTTGGC